CATTTAATTTATGAAGTTTACGTTTATGGGTGAATTTGACTGCGACATTGTTTCAAAATTAGAAAGGGAAGCAGTGATTATTTGATTATATAGACGCTTCGCCTCTGGGGGTAGGTCTACCACCCGACATCCGACGCCCTCACAGTCACAGTTCTAATGCTTACGTTTGGCATTATCGAAGCAGCGTTGTCAGATCTAGTATTTTGCCAGGGGCCTGGTGGGGATTCCTCCCTCAGGGGCGTTGTTGTATCTGTGTTATTATGGTTGGATTGCCAGTCAGAAGGCGCGCACTGATCTATAAATAACTCACTACTGTCACGTTCTGGACTTTACTTATAGGTGCTTGGAAAGAATGTTATATTGTTATATACTTCGTCATGATTTATATTAAGTATGTATGTATGTATGCGCGCGCACGCTCGCGCGCGCGTGTGTGTGTGTGTGTGTGTGTATATGTGTGTGTGTGCTTATGTGTGTGTGTGTGTGTGTGTGTGTGTGTGTGTGTGTTTGTGTGTACGGGGGGAGAGGAGAGAGAGGGAAAGAGAGAGAGGAAGAGAGAGAGAGAGAGAGAGAGAGAGAGAGAGAGAGAGAGAGAGAGAGAGAGAGAGAGAGTCTTAATAAGTGAAATAGAGAGCGAGAAAATGAATTGGAGTGTGTGTATTAGGATACCAGTTGTCTTTGACCACCCATCCTTTCCCCTCTCAGACACACTTTCCTATAATAGGCTTTATAATAATAAATAGCATTTGTACAGCATATATCTTCGCTCAAAAGCAAACTCTATGCGCTTCACGCTATATTCTGATATTTTTTATCACACGGCATTTCTTCACAATGGTCCATTTTTCTTTTTTTGATTGATTGTTTCTCTAGCTATGCTTGTTTCCTTGATGTACTTAAACAAAAGCCTGCTTGTGAATTATTATCTTTTGAAATATAAAAAGACAAACTATTATATATAACAATGTAACACGATCATAAAATAAACATCGTTTTACAAAGAATTGAAAAACAGACTTATTGTGCTATCACGACGCGGTGGAATCAGGCGTTCGTAAATTTTTGGAAAAAATACCCCTCAATCTTGAACAAAAGTCGAATTATTTGCAATTGAAGGAGGTGGGGTCGCCTGGTTTCATAGATAAAATTAGCAAGAAAATGGCCGCCAACGTTTTGGTAACTTCAATAACTTGAGAGTCTTCGAAAACTGAAAAACCACACATTTTTTTGCCTTTAATCAATGTTTTTCAGTAGAATTCCCATGAAAATGTGTTTTTATATGGACATGAAAGGCGTTGCGCCAAGAAAATGAAAATTCGATAAAATTGCCAAACTGACAGAATAATGCCTGTTTCTTCGATGTCATTATTTTGACGATCGCCTGATTTCACCACGTTGCCTCATCATTGTACGTCTGTGAGTGCGTCATGTAGATAAGACAAGCACGGGGAAACGGAGAAAAGATTGGAGAGGGCTGGAGGGGTTGGAAAGGAGGGGAGAAACGAGGGGATGGGGGCATTGTGAACTACGTCTATCTCTTCATGCTGATAACAATTACCCTGTTTATATATCGTGACGAGTCATATTGATTATCGTGCTGCATACCCCCCCCCCCCCGAAAAAAACCCGGACACAGACAAATTACACTGCGGTTCTACGATGTAAGATAAGATAATGATAATGATAATAAATAGCATTCGTATAGCGCATTTCTACGCTCGACAGCAAGCTCTATTCGCTTTACACTATATTATTATTATTATCCCAGCAGACCCTAGAGCATTCAGAAACATTCTCAGCTTCCCGGGAAGCATACAGTTCAAGCAGCTGATTAAGCGCTCAAACACTAACAAACTGACAAGATCTTTAGCTGTCTGAAGCTGGGTACCCATACCCATTCGCACCTGGGTGAAGTAAGGAACATTCGTGTAATGTGCTTTCCCAAGGACACAACGTCGGGCCCCTTGACGGGATTCGAACCCATGACCTTGCGTTTGTGAGTAGGAGAGCCTGACCACTATGCCACCGACGCCAAGATAGCATGATATACGTATAATTTGTTGTATATTTATTCTTCAGTGTTCCTGCCAGGCAAAACAATTAAAGCGAGGGGAACCTATCTGAATTGTAACAAGTTGTTCCTTTAATTTACACTGTATTTTGCGAAAAACTGGCTCAGAACATCAATATGGGGACTTTCCGTAAAAACCTCCAGACAACCGAAACAATGCTGCCGTATACGAATGAGCCAACGGCTATCTCAATATGCACTTTGCTTCAAATGGTTTTTAATTAGTGCTTTTACTGTTTGTTTTAAGAACACCAGGACCAATGAAATGATTTAAATTTCACATTATCATAATCACCCACATTCTCATCATTGACTTTTTTACTGATTTGTTGGTTGAAAGATAAAGTAGAAGAGAAAGCTTAGCATACTTGTTTCCCTGGCACCTTGTTTTGTGAGTACAATAATACTTCTTTCTGCTCTTATAAAGCTATCATCATCATCATCATCATCATCATCATCATCATCATCATTCATCATCATACTTACGTGGAAGCCTCGCTCTCCGGCGAAGATTGCTTCGTTGAGTCCACCAGGCCCATTAAGGAAACAGATTTAAAAAATCATCATCATCACCACCATCACCACCATCACCACCACTACCACCACCACATCTTCGATTCTCAACCACTCCTCCACTCTGTCCTCAGTTGTGCTGGGGGTTCAAGTTCCAAAGTGGACTGTCCAGCGGGAACCTACAATGACCAAAGCGGCCAGTCTAGCTCAGCAGCCTGCCAGGTAAGTAGGTTCAATTCAATGAGGAGTTATCAGTCTCTGCTTCTTTTAGTTTGAGTAAGGTTTTACCGCGCAACTGCATAAGGTCATAATATGAGCGCCGAGGGATGGATATCAACAGAGAAGTTAAACGTGGAATCAAGCTTACTCTGCTCACCTCTCTAGCCTCTACAGCACAAAGTCTGCTTCGGTTATCAAGGCACCCCGGAAATAGTAGTTCACAAGAGAGTGACAAACATACAAAAGAAGTAGAGAAAGAGTGGCGATAGTAAAGATGAGGAAAGAAAAAGCAGCATTTCCCCCCAATGTTATTCTGGCATAGTCTGAGCATGAAATTGATAAATTAGCCCATTTACAATTCTACTGTGCATAAGAACATGTTAATATCCCCCCTTTGGGAATGGCCTAAAGACACTTCAGTCAGTAGCACTGCCCTGGGGGGGGGGGGGAGGATCAGTCCCAGCTTCGTGCCTAACCCACCAGTGTTTAGATCAAGTGTGTTCAATGAAAGAGGTATCAATCTTAACTTCGTACCAAATCCAACAGTCTTTAGACCACTGAAAGTCTTAAGACACCCTTGGTAATCCTATTACCAGCACGAAATAGGCTAGATATCGCGACGCGACGCCTTTATTTTTCATATTTGCTTTAAAATTCAACTTAACAAAAGATAAGGAATCTAAATAAGATCAAGTTGCGAGCGCCGTAAAACCTTATACTATACATACAAATAAGATCAAAAGTGTTCGTATCTCAGAGAGCTCTGGGGTGAGTGGCTACGTGACTTCGTGTGTGTGAGTGTGAGTGTGCGTGTGTATGTATGTGTGTGTGGGATTTTTTTTTTTATTGTGTGTGATTCATGATTGTATGTGTGTGTGGGATTTTTGTGTGTGTGTGTGATTCATGATTGTATGTGTGTGAGTGGGCGTGGACGCGTATGCACGTGGGTGTTTTTGTGTGTATAAAACTATTATTTTGCTCGTCTATAAAGGTTAAACATATAAACGCTTATCTTTTAGACAGTGTGTAAGTTTGTAAAAATGTCTTTATGCTGTGTATGTATGTAATATAAATGCGCGTGTTCTGATTTGTTGTTACGTTTGTTTGGGCACACGATTTATTTATTTTTGTACTCCCCTAGGAATAATAATAATAATAATAATGAAGATCATTTCTATAGCGCCCACTCCTGTGTAAACACAGCTCTAGGCGCTTTACATAAATGCATGTAAGAACAATATTCATGCACGCGACACACACACACACACACACACACACACACACACACACACACACACACACATTTACTTGCTTATCACACGCACACGATTACACATCGTCACGAAATGAGCATAAAATAATATATACACTGCAATTCACAAAATACATAAATGGATAAATAGACATTTACATAACATTGTATTGAACATGAATCTACTGACTTAAAAAGGATGTCATTACATGTGTCTTTAAAGATTTTTTAAATTTAGACTCAGATGTTGTTATGTCTCAAGGGTTGGAGAAGAGAGTTCCAAACTGACGGAGCAAGGTGGGCGAACGATCTTTCAGCTAATTTTTTACCGCCTTTCCTAGGAACTCTTAAAAGATACTGATCGCCTGATCTCAGTGATCTAGATGGAACATAAATCTGGATGAGATCACTAAGATATGAGGGAGCTTTGTTATTGACACACTTTTTATGACATAATATTGCAATTTTATAAGACATTCTAGCTGACACGGGAAGCCTATGCAACGTTCTTAACATGGGAGCAATGAGGTCCCTCTTCTTTTTCTTATGTACAAACCTAGCAGCATGATTTTGAAAACGTTGTAACTTGTGAGGAGAGGTATTTGTTAAGTTAGCTAGTAAAGCATTGCAATAATCGATGCGTGAAAACAAGAAAGGTGACATGTTAATATCCCCCCTTTGGGAATGGCCTAAAGACACTTCAGTCAGTAGCACTGGTATATCACAAACTCGTTATCCGAAATCACAGCCGGGGTTGACTTTCAATGCATTTGCAATACTCTATACATTTCAGGTAACCATAATATAATCAACAAATGTTTTCTCCTCAAAAGAGAAAAACTTTAATTGTTCATACCGCATTAAATAACCCAAAGATAAGATTATTGCGTACAATATAAGTGTCTCACGAAAAAAACCCTATCGTTGCTATTTGCGTCCTTTAAAGACACAAATGTCACGTCAGTGTTGAGGAGAACATTTTGTTAATTTTTTTAAAGTACAGGAGCAATTCTTTAGAACTGTGTTATCGTTGCTTCTACATTACAAGTATTTAAATTCAAGATACGCTAATCCCTCCTGCAATGTGTGTGTTTTTTTAAGCTTAACTGGTATCGCCCCTGCATTGTCGAGGGTGCATTGTTTCATTTATTCTCACATAGACGAGTGAACCGTTCAGTCGTTATATTTCTAACTTTTTGACTTGTCATTTTATTTTACATTTTAAGTTATCCTGAAACACATTCTCATTTGCTCAAAAATGTGAAAGTAATGCCAATTCACAAAATACACCCTTTTTGTGCTTATTTCTTGGTGCCTTTTATAAAGAGTATATGAAGACAGATGCCTTGGGGGTAGAGTTATCGCTACATCAGAATTACAAAGTTCTTTCTGCTCAATACCTAGTTTTGATAAATTTGACGCTAACTTAATTTTTTTGAGTTTCACAAAATTTAAAGCTTTTTCGAATGCAATTCTTTGAATATCTTGACCATGACTCCCAATATTCTTGCGACTGTGGTAGAGCAGACAGAGCATTTATTTACTTTTTGACCTCAAGGTCTTAGTAACTCAAAACGCCCCCCCCCCCCCCAAGAAAAAACCCGTCAGATAGAACTTTGTAATTCTGGGATGGTGCTATGTCTATGGCTGATTCATATTTGGCAAAAGTCTGACTTACGCTAAAAGGTTAGTATCACTACGTCACACTCTTTGCTCCCACTTTCCATCCACCCAGGACTGCAGTTCCGGTGAGTACAGCGCCAGTTCAGGTTCCACTTCCTGTCAGACGTGTCCAGCCGGCAAGTCCTGTGGTGCAGCGACATCTACGCCCTCAGACTGCGCCTCGGGACAGTACTCGCTAGGGGGCGCTTCCTCCTGCACGGATTGTCCAATCGGATACAAGTGTGTGAACCCTACCTTGGGCCCGGTGCAATGTAACGCGGGGTTTTATACCGCCAGTACAGGTAGGGAACTGAAAATAATAATTTTATTATTATGTTACTAAATAAATTGCATGAAATAGGCCCCTAACGATACGTTTATCACACACGTTCTCTTTTTCAACTATCTGAATGGTTTTTTTCTTCCAAGTACAGAGCAACTCTATATTCAACCCTTCCCCAACAATATCCTGTTTTCTTACTTTCTTTCTTTCTTTCTCCCCCTTCCCCCCCCCCTCTCTCTCTCTCTCTCTCTCTCTCTCTCTCTCTCTCTCCCTCTCTCTCTCTGTCTCTCTCTCTCTCCCCCCCCCTCTCTCCCTGTCCATCTACCCCTCTCGTTCTTTCTTTCTCTTTCTCACTAACTTCTCTAACATACAGCCAAATTCAGTTTCTGTATTCAGTCTCCTGATGCCATTTTACGGTTCACCGCTTCTCTGTAGAGAGCTAAGAGCATTATTGAGTTAGCAATCGCTTTTATTTATAGACATAATAATTGCGTTCAATACTCTAAATATATATTTTTACACTAACACAAGTTTGTTTAATGTTCACTACAACTAATGATAATATGTGTGTTTGTCTCTATTCCCGTCACAGGCCAGACGTCATGTTCTCAATGCCCTGCCGGCTCCGAGTGTCCGAATAACGGCGCCCCGGTGGCCTGTTCAGCGGGCTACTACTCCACCCTCGGGGCGGGCGCCTGTACGCCCTGTGCAGCGGGAACTTACGCGAACTCTGCTGGTGAGAGATCGATAATTCGCTACCTTAAAATTACAAATAAAATTAGCACAATCCTGAAAATTAGAAACATCTCAATGACTACCAAAATGAAAGTTCTGAAATGCTATGTATAGTCTAACCTTCTATATGGCTGTGAATGCTGGACAATCACTAAAGACAGTGAACATAATAAAGAAACAACAGGAAAGTGGTTTCTTAGGAGACTGCTAAGAGTATCGCGGAAGGAAAAGGAATCAAATGAGGTAGAGCTTGATGAAGCCCACGTAGCACGCTCACTGTTTAAAACAATCAGGAAAAGACAATAAATGCAGTTTTTGGGACACGTGAATAGACATAAAGATCTTGAACATCTAGCTCTCACTGGCAAAACTGAAGGCAAACAAGACAGGGGTAGGCCCAGAGCAACCTACTTAGGGAACCTAAACAAACTGGTAACGGGGACAGATCAGGGAAATACAATTGCTTTTTTAAGAGCATCCGAGCAAACGAATGAATGGAGAATCATGATTGCCGATGCCTGTCGCAGATCTGGCACTGGATGAATGAAGAATTACGAAGTTCTATCTAACATTTATGGCCATTTTTGGCTACTTTAAAGACCTTGAGGTCGGAAACCAAATGATCTCTCAGCTCTATCAAAATTGTAAGATTATTCCGAGTCGTTATCAAGTTATTCAAAGAATCAACTGCTTTCGAAAAAGTGACACACAACATTTTTGACGCCTCAGAACTATTTTGTCCTAAGTGTACGAAAGTGAAGAGTTCACTGTGGACAAAAAAATAGTTCTGGGGAGACGAAAACTTGGTAATTCTAAGGTAGCGAATTGGCGTACTTGCCTCGTATAAGTCCTTCACATTAACACACTGTGGACGCACATTCTCGTCGACTTCAAAACCGTTACAAGACACCCTGTTGTGGGTACATGTACTTTGTAAAAGGAGCATAATAATATCGTTAATTATTCAGGTTTTTAACCTTTTTTTTCCTTTACCTAAAACTTAAAAATGCAGCCAGAAAAAATATGAAACTTATGAAAATAAATATTAAACACAAGGGAGAACTTCAAGGCCGCGCACTATCAGAGCCGTGCACTTTTTGACGATATCGATGCAATTAAATTGCAAACTACCAAAACCAATACCATCCATCAATTTAAGTACCCTCTATGTTTTACTGGGCTTGGGACCAGCATACATAAATTTTCAATTTTGTTTTGAATGAATTGGCTTTTCGGGTATAGGGACGATCTTCAGTGCTGGGACAGCATTTTCTTGCTCATTCGGGATAAAAATTGAAATTGTGAGGTTTGTCTATCTGCGTACATTTGCTTGTAATATATCCTCTCTTCCTCTTCCCTTCTATTTGGTCTGTTGTTTTAGTTGCAGCCTAGACGTAGTCAGTGTTGTCGCTTAACGGTACCAGAAAGACAAATATACTTGGATGGAGGCTGTACAGAGTAATTTTGGCAAGGGGACTGTAACCGTTTCGTGGAATCGGTAATCTAATTGTATGATCAATATCCTTAAAAAGTGCACGACTCTCATAGTGCGCGGGTTTGATAATATTTTTTTTTCGAAAGTGCGAGTCTCTGATAGTTGCCCATTGCCCATACGGAATAGGTTCGTAATTGCCACTCGTTGCAATGGCTACAATGGTATTGGTGTGTTGATGTTTGGACCTCATAATATGTCTGCTCTCATTCTCAGCAAGTTACCAAATTGTTGTCTTCTTTCTTCACACTGGCAGGCCTCTTTTGTGTTTGAGTGTGTGTTTGTGTGCGTGTGTGTGTGTGTGTGCGTGTGTGTGTGTGTGTGTGTGTGTGAGTGTGTGTGTGTGCGTGAGTGTGTGTATGTGTATTCGTATGTGTATGCGTATGTGTATGTGTATATGTATGTGTTTTTGTATGTGTATGGGTGTGTGTATGTGTATGCGTATGCGTATGCATATGCGTATGCGTATGCGTGTGGGTATGCGTATGCGTATTCGTATGTGTATGTGTACGTGTGTATGTATGTGTGCGTATGTGTATGCGTTTGTGTATGTGTATGCGTATGTGTATGTATGTGTGTGTGTGTATGTGTGTTATCGTCATCATTGTCGTTGCTATCATCGTCGCCTTTTTAATCATCACCACATCATCGCGACAACCACCACTCCCACGATCACCACATGACCACCACCACCACCTCCACCACCACCATCATCATCATCATCATCATCATCATCATCGTCATCGTCATCATCATCATCATCATCATCATCATCATCATCA